TTACAAGTTCTTTTCTTCTTTTATTCGAAGATCTCCTTTCTCTATTTTGCATGCACAACTTTCCTTTATTATACAAGCTTTCGATGTTTTTCGATGCTTTCTTTATATTTGACCAATTTTAAATTCTTTGCAAGCTCTCTATTTTCTTTTGTTTTTTTATATAATCGGCCTACCTTTGGAACTACCAAGTAACAATTGGTTAGCTTGGCATTCGATTACTACATTTTCAGTCTTTACATTTTCATTATTTTTATATTTTCAATCAACCATTCTTTTGATTTGTTTAAATATAAAGTTAGCAAGAATTACCTTTGGTAATTGGTTTCATGACCAATAAATAATTCACATGGGAATGATATTTTACTTCATCACTTTATTACTTGATAGCGATCTGTGCACTCACAGGCTATATAAAAAACAACAATCAACAATAGCTCATTTGTTCTTAATATCTTAATATAGTTAAGGATGCATAATTTTAGTAATTGATTCTCTTCTATAATTTCAATCCTTGTGGGAACGATCTATTCACTATTATATTATTTGTTAAGACTCTGTGCACTTGTGGATTGCACTTATTAATTGGCTTGTGAATTTATTACGATATATTTCTTTTGTGTTATTGCACCTTGTTGCTTTAAGCCCAAGAAAAAGAGTTAGCAATTACTAACCTTCCTAACCTACTTAGGCAAAAAAAATAGAGCTAAAGATCTAGAAATTATTAATTGTGTTGCTAAAATACCGAAGGCATTTGTCTTACAAATTGCCTTATGGAGAGAAATAGAAAAAGTGCAATGGGCCTGTGAAGAGAAATGTACATTTCTCAATTAAAGAATTAAGGCAAGGTTTGCTACTCTTATGATGGAAAAACAAGGAGTATCCCAAAGCTTTAACCCTTGAATAGGCTTGGTCAAAGAGGTAAGAGATTAGATGACAAGCACCTCGTTGTTGAAATATCCTTTTTAGAGAGTAAGTTATATTTTTTATCGAATAACCTTCGAAAGGCAAAAGCTACCTTACAGCTGCAAGGATAGTTGTTAACACTATATATATGCCACCTACTCAATAGAGAATAATAGATTTGTAGAGTGGCATCTTTTAGCAAGTCAATATTCGATTATAAAACTACTAAAGCTATTTTTTTGAAGAGTTTAAGTGATTCAACACCTTTAAGGATCCTAGGATTATTTTTAGTCTAAAGTACATGTTCTTATACAAGATCATGGTGAATTAAGCTGATGATGTGGCTATAATAAATTCATCTAAAGCTGGTTTGCATTACATAGGGCTAGACTTGGATGCTATGAAGTTATTGCTAATGCTTATGCAAAGCAATCCTTGAAGTTATTTGAATTGAGGCTACTTTGAATGATTTCAAAGCATAACTAGAGGTAGATACAATTGTCCATAGTACTTCTTTTCTCTCTATGACACACTTCTAGCACAAAACTTGTGCTAGTTAATTGAACTTTCTGTAAGGTTGAAATTGCTTAAATCATTAACCAAATTGATTTGCTAATTGTTCATAAAGAGAAAAAGATTTCTTAAATGATTTTGGGTGAGAAGTTTGCTGAATGCCTAATCATATTTGAAGAGACCAAGATTAATGCCATATACACTAAAATTTTAGAAACCATTTCCAACATTAAGGTTGTGGATAGCCTTTATGTTAGCTTTGCCTTCATTACATGAGGGTTTTTTGTTACTTTCGTTGGTATTGTAATTTTAAGTTTGGTCTATAAGTTTATTATGATTCTATTATGTCAATTGCAAAATTGTTTCCATTGATGATCTTACTAATTACATTTAATTTTTATACACACTTGATAATTCCTTTCTTGTTTCAATATCTCAAACAATCATTAAACTTAAAGGTTTACTCTTTTTTTAAAATTGTTTTTTTAGGTTCAACTTTCAAGTGAAGAGGTTGTGGTTTCCCATCAATTGTTAAGTTTTGTAGGCTTCTTTTGTCGTATATGTTTACCAAAGATATGTTTTTAAAGGCTTATTAAAGTAAAAACATAGGTTTACAATCATTTACTATGCATGTGTTTTGAAAAATAATGTTTTGAAAGTATAGGAAAACATTAGAATAAAGTAATATTGTGCGAGCAACTGACTGCCCTATCAATTGCTAAGTGAGAGAGCTAACTACCTTAGTAACTGCCATTGAATGGTTGACATTCTAATAGAAAAATATGCATGGGTAGCCATTACCTTTGAGGAGGAATCAACTACTTTACTTAAAAAGTGAGAAATCGACTTCCAATAGGAAGGCTTCTAAATGCTTGCATTATGTTTGAGCAAAGTAGTCAACAACCTTAAGGAACAATTGACTACTTTTGCTTATTTTACCTTAAAAAAATCAATTGTCTAAGGAATTCCATAAAACTTTACGTTATGTTTGAAAAAGCAGTGGATTGCCCTTGAGAGCAATCAACTGCGCTTATCCTAATTACAATAGGCAATCAATTGCTTAGAAAAGCAGTCAACTACTCAACAGAATCAAAGTTTTTATTTTTGAAAAAATTCTTAAGGTAGTTGATTGCCTTTGTAAAGCAACGAATGCTTATCTTAGAAAGCAAAAAAAAAAAAAAAAAAAAAAACAAGTCTATTGGATCTTATTTGTGGAAAAATGCTTAAGGCAGTCGACTACCTTGTAAAGCAGTTGACTACTTGTCTTCAAAAATTAAAAAAAAAAAAGTCCATTGGACATGTTCTTTCATTTTATAAGTTGTATTACTTCATTCAAAAGATATCCATTCGTGGAAGGACATTAAAGGTGTCTTTTAGGGCTTATATATACTTAGGCTGCATTTGATAGCCATGAAAATTATTTCCAAAAATCAATTTCTATGTTTTTTCATGTTTGGAAAGGCAAAACAAATTTGGTCAACAAAAATTAATTTTGGGTCAACCAAAAAATTAAAGCTTACCACACGTAGAATGTTTTCCTTTCTTTTTTTAATGGAAGACAATTTTCGTGTGTTATCACCATCAATTTCTCTCCACAAACCCATAACCCCTCACAGATCCTAACCCTTTTCCTATCATCTACCACCATTAAAACTCATAAATCACTACAAGATATTTTTCATATACTGATGCTTGATTATACTAACGATCAAATTGTGTTAGTAAAAGAGATTTATACTGGTGGTTTTTTAATACCATTAGAATATATCATACCTATACCAGCACTTTATACAACCATCGGTATAAATAAACTTTTCTGATGGTATATAACTATCCATCAGTATAAGTATGCTATATACTGACACTTACCTATATTGACGATCAAATTATATAAGTAAAAAGTATCTATACTGATGAATTTTTGTTACTATCAGTATAGACAGTGTCTATACCAACACTTTGTACAATCATCGTTATAGGTAAATTTTTTCTGACGGTATATAAATGTTTGTCAGTATAAGTATATTATATACTGACACTTACCTATATTGACGGTCAAATTATATAAGTAAAAAGTATCTATACTGATGAATTTTTGTTACTATCAGTATAGACAGTGTCTATACCAACACTTTGTACAATTATCGTTATAGGTAAACTTTTTCTGACGGTATATAAATGTTTGTCAGTATAAGTATATTATATACTGACAGTTATAACACTTTGGTTTTAGGAGAATCCACATATTTTCCTTTGGAATTTTACTATTGGGTATTTAATTCTAATATTTGGTTTAGGATAATAGATTTTGAGGAAAATTGACATATTCTCAATAGTACCCAAAGTTTCAAAATAAAAAACTCACCTTTCTTTGTAGTATGCTAGGATTCGGGGAGGAAATAGCTTTATTTTCAAATTTGACCTGACTAAAAAATTATAAAATAATCGTTATCATTTTGAAAAGCATGTCTAAAAATAAATACAAGTCAGTTGTAAGTTTTTACTGGTAAAAAATTTGGTTTATATATGACAGTTGGCATAAAAAACACCTTTAATAATCTCTTACAAAAAATTGAATAAGGGTTTTTCAATGTATTTCTAGCCAAAAAAGGCCTTGAATAATCTTCAAAAATTTTTATGAGGATGATTATTAAAGGTATTTTTTGTCAAAAACACCTTAAATAACCTTAATTAAATTTTTTGTAAAGAATTATTTAAGGCATTTTTGGCCAACCTATCATTTTTTTGGATTATTCAAGACGTTTTTGGTTAGAAACGTCTTGAATAATCCCTTACAAAAAATTTAATACGGTTACTTAAGACGTTTATGATAAAAAAACACCTTCAATAATTCATTTTAAATTTTATGAGTTAATTATTCAAGGCATTTTTGGCCTCTTTGCCAAAAACGCCTTGAATAATCTCTATTTAAGCGTTAGGGTTTAAGATTTAAGAGATTATTCAATGTATTTTTTTAGCAAAAAATACTATGAATAATCCCAAAAAAATAGGAGGAGATTATTCAAAGCGTTTTTTGGATAAAAATGCCTTAAATAATCTCAAAAAAAAAATTTGAAGGGAATTATTCAAAACGTTTTTAGTCAAAATACCTTGAATAATTTGTCAGTAAAAAATTTGAAAGAGATTATTCAATGCATTTTTGACTAAAATCATCTTAAAAAATTCTTTACAAAAAATTTAATAGGATTAATTAAGGCATTTATGACAAAAAAATACATTTAATAATCTACTTTAATTTTTATGAGATGATTATTTTTACTTAAAAATACTTTGAATAATCTTAATTTTTAGAATTTATGGTTTAAGGGATAATTTAAGGTATTTTTTTATAAAAAAACATCATAAATAATTTAAAAAAATAAAATGAGATTATTGAATGCATTTTTTGAATAAAAACGTTTTAAATAATCTTAAAAGAAATAAAAAAATATTATTAAAAACATTTTTTATTAAAAACATTTTAAATAATCTCAATAAAAACTTAAATTCTAATTTGGAAGGGTATTTCTTGTAATTAAAGAACACCAATTTCAAATTCTATTATATACCCTTTTGCGATAGAAGTACGGGCCAAGGTTTTACCAGGAGCTCAAGCAAAGGCCCTTCCACTGCCTTTGAATCTTTAATTCAAAAACAGGACCTTCCGTTTAATTGTTTCGTCCTCACTCTCTCTCTCTCTCTAAAAACCTTATTCACAACTACCCGACGATGTTGTTTTTTAATCGATGTACACCAGAATGGGTGGACAAAAGGGTGACCAGGCCAGGAGCAAGGCACGCCCTTCAAGCAGCAGGTTTTCTTTGTACTTTATTCTCAATTTAATTCATTAGTTATTAACAAATTAAATCTTTTTAATTAATCTGTATGCTAAAATTTTGACCTTTATGACTGGCAGCCTTGCGGCTTCTTTATTGCCATCGAGGATAGCAATGGAGTGAGAGAAGATGGTGGTGGTGTATTGGAGGTTGAAGGTTTGCCTTTGATGGAGTCAAAATCGAGCCCCCCAAAAAAGTTCTAATTTTAATGAGTGATACTGTTGGGGGTTATAGAGTCTCGGCTGAAGCTATTAAGGCTACTTTTAATGAGGAATTTGGGGACGATTATCAGGTCAGGTTCCTTTTGTTTGGTGGCAAAGAAAATGTGTGCATTGGGCAAAGGTGGAAATTAAGAAAGTTTAATTCTTTTATCAATACTTTGCAGTGTTAGATTTGTTATGATTAACTGGGACTAAATTCAATGAGTCATATTTCAGTATTATTTATCTTATGTTTTTGGTTTACCTTTCTTCTGTATGTTAAGAGTGGCTTATTGCAGGTGTTTGTTACGAATTTATGGTCGGATCATACACCCTGGCCATTTAATCAATTACCCAAGAGCTATAACTTCTTGGTCAAACTTGGATCCTTGTGGAAAATGACTTATTATATATCTGCTCCTAGGGTGGTTCATCAATCTAATTTTGCTGCAACTTCAACGTTTATAGCTAGGTGAGAATTTGTGGTCTTCTTGGTACAGATGCTTTTATATTGTTTTCCTATGTAATTAATTATGCTGTGCTTTGTAACTAATCACCGTTCATCAAGTTTCTGTTGAAGACTGTCTCAACCTTGTTGAACTAACGTGAGAAGATATGTGAATGAAACAGAATAAAGTATATCAGCCTTACAACAAATTAGTATTACATGATTTGTTTTGCCATTTTTGTAACACGTATTTGTTTAAATTTCCATTCTGTTGTCTGTCAACTTGAGGCTTTTTTAAGAGTCTCTTGTATGTCAAATTGGATTGTAGTCATAATCTTCTGCTGTTTATGAGCAAGGCATGAATGCATTGAATTGGCTTATACTTGTTTAACTCTATCTAATGTGGGATCTATAAAATGAACATCAAGTATCTGACCTAGTCATATGTTATCGATGGAGAGGCTAGATGTGCCCAACTATGTAAAATATAGAATATCTCTATGGCTCTACCTCATGTCTTCTCTGTTATGTGTATCAGGAGAACTGTAAGGACAGAAACATTTGAGATTTTCTTGAAGCTCAAGTTTAGTGATGGTTGTAGTTGTCTTAGCACCCAAATCAAAACCCCTTTTAATTTTCAGGTGAGGAGATATAGAATTTATTTACTCATTATTCATTTCATATTTTAGTAGTTGTTAGTTCTTGCTCATTTATGTCAATTTCAATTCTGCAACTTGTAACAAAGGCTTCATTGCTCTAGTTCAACCTACTTCTCAAGGCCTAATACTTGAGGATGATGGAAGTTCCCCTGATTTTGAGCAAAATGTTGACTCCATATTTATTGTTAAAACCTGGGTTGCCTGGCAAAGCAGTTGTTTATTTTTAGAATTACACTAATTCTTTTTGCTTTTAACTTAATTATCTAATTGTGTATTTTATGTTACGCAGATGATTCTCTGTAAAAATCTATGATGGGACCACTTACTTTGGGGAATTGTTTATTTACTTTGAGCACCATGTTTGTAGACATTCAATCATAGTCATTAATTTTTTTTTTTTTGGATTTGGTACAATGATGTTAGATTTTGACTTATTTAAATATGTGGATTATAAAACAATTTGATTGCTGTTTTAATTCAAATGTTATTAAATATTTTTAATTTTTTGTGTATTTTTACTTTATATGAAATCATATCATATTATGATTATAAATAAATTAATATTAATAATTAAAAATATAATTAAAAAAAAAAGGTTTTACAAACACCTTAAAATTTATACTAACGCGTTTTACTGTTGGAATATTTCAGGCTATACTGACAGTCATCACGGATAGAGCGTCAATAAAAGTAAAATCACATAAGGCTATACTGATGGGCACTAATCGTTGGTAAAAGATATACTGACGGAGATATCATCGATATAGGTTGAAAAAATTAAAACATATGATTCTATATTGATGGGATATAATCATCGGTAAAAGGTATAATGTTAAAGACACAACAGTTGCTATACCAACGGTTATAAATATAGTGACGGATTAAAATTGTTGGTATATTTTTGTTACATATTCCAATAGCTTAAAACCCATAAGTATAGGTCTATACCGATAAGAGATATATTACAGTTATAAATTTATCGGAATAGATATTTTGACCATCGATATAGGATTTGTTGTGTTATATCAATGGATTTTTAAATTTTACTAACGGTTTTTTTAGCATTAATATGAAACACTTTTCTTGTAGTGAATCTTCCTTATCCTTCAAAATTTTTTTTTCTTTTTTCTTTTCTTCTTTTCTTCTTCCTTTGTCTTGTGTATATCTTCACTTTGGAGGTAAGAAACTCCAGCTCTATCACCAGATTCTGCTTCAGCATCAAATCACTCTTTTTTAAAAATTTTGGTTTTTGTTGGCCGAAAGAACAAGGTTATCCTCTCTAGCAACGGTCTACTATGCTCTTTGTAGCTAACCAGCAAAGCTTCAACCATGGCTATGGAGAAGAATAAGAGGATTTCCAAGGGAAAGGAGGAAAGAAGAAGGCAGTTGATCCATTTGCCAAGAAGGATTGGTATAATAATCAAGGGTCCAACAGTTTTTACTACAAAAAATGTAGGGAAGACTCTAGTTACCCATAATCAGGATACCAAGATTGCTTCAAGACTCAAACACCGTGTGTTTGAGATTCACTGGCTGATCTTCAAGGTGGTGAGGATCATGCTTACAAAAAGATTCATTTGAGAGCTGAAGATGTGAAAGGAAAAAATCTTGGGAATTTGTTGGATGAGTAATTTTTTATAGATATGAGTTTAATAATTTTATAATTATTATTTTCAAGTTTATAATGAATATTATATATAAATATTTTTTAATGATGAAACATAAAAATTTTAAAGTTGTGTTATGACGAAAGTTACGAAGATTAACTATTGTGAAAAATATTTTTCTCAAACATCAGAAAATAAATATTTTTCAAATATCATCCGAACAGTATAAAATAATTTTTTTCTAAAAAATGTCTTGTACAAAAAATATTTTCTTTGGGAAAGTCAATTTCTGATTACCAAACAGAGCCTTACCAAACACTTATTTTCAATAAACTTTTACATCTTTTCAAGATAAAATCAAGATTTCTTCTTCCCGCAAACTTTTTTTTTTTTTTTGGTTCATGGTTTAAGAGATATAAATGAAGAGTTAAAGCGCAATTAATTTTTTTTATTGGATATTGTATCTTGAGGACAATATTTCTAATAACCATTTACCCATAATGAAAGAATTGTTATCCTTAAAAAAACTTCCTGAAGGTGCCTTGTCAAAATTTTTCTTTCAAATTCATTTGCATAAATTGCCAACTCCAAATATAACATCTTTTTCTAAGAATTAGGCAAAGCAAAAGGGCAAAGTACTTTTTTTTGTTTTTCTACAGGCCTAGACATTAGCCAGTTTAGCCCAGAATACAATCAATCGGCTTGGACTTCGGAATGGTGTGATTGCAGCAAGCTTAAGTCATATATGGTTTTTTTCCTTTTTGCCGAGTAGATATGGAGAGGGTTAAGGAATTTGAAATCTTAAATTAAACCCCAACTATCTTAAAAAGGAATACTCCTTTCATTTCATTTTTCTTTTTATCTATCTTTCTTTTTTTAAAATATCTCAAAATTATATCTTTTTATCTACTTTTGTATATCTAAAATTTTTATTTTTTATATTTTAAAATTATTTTTTATGATTTTTTATTTTTAAAATTAAAAACTATGGAAATTTAATTTTGTAAAAAATTTAAATTTTAATGATAAATATATTAAAGTCAAAATTTTTCTTTAAAATTTGTAAAAATCAATAATACCTAAATAATTTAAAACGGAATATATAATAATTCATAAGCAAAATCTTGATTGTTGTAAATATAATACAAAACTTTTGTCCCTTTTGTTCGGGGGCAATTACAACATAGATGTTGTCCCCTCAGCCCTTACCTTCGATGGAAGGAAAGCAACTTTAAAAAAATAAAAGGAGAAGTTTAATTGGTAAAAGAATAGTAAAAGTTTTAGATGGTGGCATCTGCATTGCAATGCCAATTGCCATGATAGACGTGGTTTCAATATGGGTGCTGTAGGAAGTTAGGTATCATCCATAACCCAGTCTAAAAGTAAAGTAAAGCAAAGTAAAGCTTCGTTGTTGTTGTTGGCTTGGTTTGCTACTACTACTTTTTGTCTTGACACGTAAAAAGTAAAACAAAAGCATCTCTCAACAACTTTTTTGTTAAGATTGGCGGCAGTCCATATCAACTTCCATTTCTTTCTTCTAAATTGGTACAGTTCCAGTAATAAAAATTACAATACTAGAATAATCTTACACTGTTTTATTTTATTTACTAGGACACATATTTTCAATTCAACCATAATTAAAGCCATTTATTTTGTGAGAGGAATTAATATAATATTTGCTAAGTTCATTAATTTTATATTCATTCTTTTAAATTTGTTGTCAATTATTTAAGCTTCCTAATCCTAAAGAATGGAATGGATATTCTAATTGGAAGAATAAATAAGGACAGAAAATTACTTTGTATTGTTGATTAATTTAAGCTTAATTTTGGTGATATTTAAATTATATATATTGTAGTTAATAATATAAGTAAAGCTTGATGGCAGTGAGATAGTAGTTGAAAAATAATTGGAGGATGGAAATAGCCCGTGGGATAAGTATATAAAAAATTGGAACTTAATAATATTAGCTTAACCGTTAAGCTTATTAATTATGTCAATAATTGGGATGCGTTAAAATGCATGTAGAAACTGATTTTATGGAGAAAAAGTATGAATTAAGTAATGTGATTAATATTATAATGATGGTTTGGGAAAGAAAGGGGCATTGTAGTAATAGCCAGCCTTTGGTCTGAAAGAATCAAATAGGCCTATTCTATTGATTATTTATATAAACCCAGCGATAGTAATAATACTAAAGAGTAATCTAACTTCTTCATTGGCAATTGGCCTAATTGTTTGGTAACTCCTGGTATCCTTCATCAGTTCAAGGAGGATATATAGGAAAGTAAATTGATGAGATAGAGATGATGAAGCGGAGTACCTCGGAGTCGGATCTTGAGCAGTTCGTCAGGGACTGGGAAACTACGAGTATGACCGCCTTCTCTACCTCTGACGCCGCTAAACCCTTAGCCTTGCCCTCGCCCTTGCCCTTGCCCGATCCTAATAATTATTATTCCCCTGCCCATCTTTATGACTCGAGAGATGATCAGGTTATAATTTCTCTCTCTTCTCCTTTATCAATTAATTACTCCATATTTATATGAACATGATTAAAGATGTTTAGTCCACTCACTTCACTTCTACTACCTTCAACTAGCTTGCTCATTCACGCTTTAAAATTACTCCTCTCTTCACATGCATCCATATATTTCTATATACATGTTATTTCCTTCAGCTTCAACAACCTGCAGCCTCTTCTTTTTTCCGTATAACTCCTTTTATCATCACTTCCTTTTAATCCACCGCTTTAAAATTATATTATTATTAATAATCCTTAATCATTCTCTATATATATATATGCATATATATTCTAATTTTTTTAATTAATTTTTTTTTTTTTAATTTCAACAACTCCCTCCGGCCTCCGGCCTCCGCCATCCGTTCTGGTTGGAGCATATACGTGTTCACCAACATTAATTAACAACGGGTGTGAATTAATATTGCAATCCCTTTCTTTCTTTCTTTTCTTTCTTTTTTACTTCCTCCGGCCAATGACAACCTGACAAAAATATACATGCCAATTAATATGAAATATTATTATATTGTAATTTGTTGGTTTCTTTCCCTTTTGGATCGCCGCCACCAATACTAACGGATTTATTAATTCATAAATTTTACCAACCAATGTTTTATTAATCTTTCCATCCTTTCTTGTTATTTTTGGTTTTGAGACTATTATGATTTTGACCTGTCACTAAAATTAAAATTTTAATATTTTATCAATAAATCACATAATTATTATTATTTTTTTTTTCTAGAATCAACCTTTTTAGAATGTTAATAAAAATATATTAGTTTTTAGCAGTTATATATACATATATTAATTTATGACAGAATGAGGCTTCTATGTCAAGCGAGTATTACTATTTTGTTTTTGCTAGAATCAACCTTTTTATGATGTTAATAAAATATATATTAGTTTTTAGCACTTATATATACATATATTAATTTATGACAGAATAAGGTTTCTATGTCCAAGTCTAATATTTATTTAAACGTTATTGAATTGATAATCAGGAAGTAATGAATGATATTTCGAGTCACAACAGAGAAGCAGCTGAAACAAATGTATTGCTATTGTCACAGAATCTTACCCCGAAGGGATCCACCCTTGATTCCCCAAAGCTATCATCCATCTGTGGTATACATGAGTTTACACTACCTTTTTTTTTTGTTTTTTTAACAGATATACCAATACCATGTAGTATTCAATATACATTAATAACATGTTTCTCAAATAATGTTTTCTAATTAAGCATCGATCACAGCTGCTTTCCTTATTTATTATTAAGTGCAGTACTGATTAAAATTTTCAAATTGTGCTGTTATTTTTTTTGTGTATATATAAAAAAATTAGGAATTGTGTCATCGGGAAGTCCAGTGTCTGCAGGTAATAACCCTAAAAGTAAGGAGAATAAAGTTAGAGGAACTACAAGTGTTTCCTCTGATCATGACCAAACGGACGATGAAGAAGATGTAGAAACTGACGCTGGTCAGTGTGAACAGAGCTTAAACCCCTTTAATTTGAAACGCTTTCGGAGGTACGTACGTCTATATCTATATATATCCATACCAATATCAATGCCTAATGAAGCCAATGACCTGACATTGCTTGATTTTTTATCTTTATATAATACGTATATATATATAAATATCTTGATCAGGATGCTTTCTAATCGGGAGTCTGCCAGGCGATCAAGGAAAAGAAAGCAAGAGCATCTCGCAGGTCTTCAATTTCAGGTGATTATTAATTAGTAATTCTAGCTAATTAAAACAATGCCTGTACAACCAAAAGCCTTAATTCTTTAATTTTAACTTCCCTCCATTGTCTTATTGAAATTATAGTTTAATAATCAAGAATTTTGGGGTTTGTTTCGCATTTCTAAGGCTGAACAATTGAGGGTACAAAATGATTCCCTGTGCGAGCAGCTTACAAATGCTCATCAACAATTTCGTGATGCTGAAATTAATAATCGAGTGCTAAAGTCAGACGTGGAAGCCTTAAGAGCCAAGGTAAGGATTTTCTTTACTTTTGGAGCAGACTTAATATTTCGTTTAGCTGTTTATTTGGGGGGAATATTTCTGGTACAATCATTATAGTATAGTTCGTCATTTATAATTTAAAATTACTCGAGATTCATCAAAATTTTATTTGGTGTTTACATTTATAAATAGTTGATACCTATATAAATTTTTATTATGATTGAATAATTATAAAAATGTTGTAAAAAAAAAAATTATAGGTGCTATGTTCTCTTATTTGGATACATAATTTTAAAACTAAAAAAAAAAAGAAAAGATTAGAGGTAATCATATGTTGTTGAGTACAATGTCTTATACTATATATATATATATATATATATATATATATAGTAAGAATATTATAGATTTAGAATTATTTATTGAAACACTAAGATAAATATTATTGATGGTTGCTTCACAAACCTTTAAGGATCTACTTGTCATTCTATTATTATTAATACTTTTGACTAGAGTAATTAGGATTCATAGTTTTCTATTAATTTCCACGAGTATATGTGCTTGTTTATATAGCACGTATCTCAATTCCATAGGGAATCAATCTTTAATAGCATGTAAGTGAAATTTTATTAAAAATAAAATTTTAACTCAACTCATATTAAAAATTAAATAATTCATATGTGGATGTATTAATAGGTTTGAATCGACTTGATTTGACCTATGTATATATATATATATATATATATATCCATCTTACACACCAAATTAATTATATCCATATTAAAAAAATCAAACATCTCTAATCCTTCATATATAACATATAACTGAATTATATTTAATCTCTTATCCAATGTATTTATGCTCGTTATTATATCAAACATTTAATTCAACATAAACTGCCTGAGTAATGAATCACAAAGCATAAATGTGGAATCAATTAGTTTTTTCTTAACAAATTATATCAATTCACCTAAACTTGATTGCTTTCCTAGTCATGCTCCATCAAACCAAATCAATTATGATCATTGAATATATGATAAAGCAGAAAACATCAAGCCTCCACTTCATGACATAATTTTAAGTTACAAATGATACAAATGTAGAATTGAAATCTACAGGGTTCACACAATGATAAAAGAAGAATCTGTTCATTCACTCTTTAAATATTGATTGAAATAGCATACACAGTAGGACATGTATGCATGTTAAAAGTCCCAATAAGGGCATGCCACATACTTTCACCATACAAAATCTTGGCCTAGATATTATTAAAACACTTACTTGACAATCTTCAAACAATTGCTTCATTACAACATACTCCTAAAAAGCTCACATCCGATTATACAAATTTTAAAGAGATTAGTAATAGTCTTGTCTTAGTCACTTACCAAGGTGACAATCAAAGATAATTATTTGTTTACTCAGTGAGAGCTAACAAAATCACTAGCACCTCACTATTAGCACTACAATGATCACATGTCTCATTTTACATGTTTCAAAGCATTTAAGATGATTATCTATATGAGAGGATTGATCTAAGCTCGGTAACATTCTATACTAAGAATATAATAAAGTGTACTAATTTAAATCAAACAATTTAAAAGAAAAATAACTTATATTTAATTAACAAAATTTTGTCTAATAATGCATCCATATTAAATCTTATGTAAACTTTTTTTTTTTTATTTTGAAAAGGAATCTTACGTAAACTTAAACTCTCAACTTGTTTAAAAAAAATCACAAGGGAATGATTTGATAAAAGGATCTACAACCATGACTCTAGTAAAAATATAACTAAAAACAATTTATTCTTACACAATAATGTCTCTTTGAAGTGATATTTTTCTCAATATGTTTGGATTTACCATAACATTTACTATGAAACACGTTCACGAAGAAACCTTGGCATATCGATATCATATTAATGGATGGAATACGTGTAGAATATGTTGGAACGCGACAAAAAATAAAAAGAAATTGGACATAACCAAGACATAATGAAGACACGTCTAAACACGTTACCACTTGCTAGATTTGCTTCCCCTAAAAACATGAGCCAGAAGAAAAACATGAGAACGGCGATATTGAAAAATAGGTATAGGTTACGAACAAGCAGCAAAAATCTTCAAGAACAAGCGGCATTTGATTTGAAGGAAGGACTGTGTCAACCTCGTCGGAGAATGCTGCCGAACCACTAATTGTACAAGAAGTGATAGTAGTTGAATCTAATATTACCGTTACTTAGCAGAGCACATAGTAAAATAAAAATCCAACAGATAGATATTCTGGAAATGAAAGAATAGAGTAGATTACTGAATAGAGAAGAAGAGATAAGAGAGAGAATTTATGAACTTTGTCAATGATTCCTTTCTGTCTTTTTTTCCTGTATCACCTTTCTTTTTACACCAAAAACAAGCTAAACGTTAACACCGCTATAACAAAATAACAGAATTTGCTTTTTTCTGGAAAACAAACATTTAACCAACTGGCTGAACACTAAATGGGCTGCAAAAATGTTAAATGGGCTAAGTAAAAACATAAATTGTCACCGGGTCTACTTTAGCTCATACCAACTACCCTTCCCTTGAAACCATCCTTATCCTCAAGGACTGAATGAAGGAAACATATGTTGCAGCTCGTATAAACTTTTCCATGTGGCATCCTTTGGAAAATAGTTATTCCACTGCACCAAGACCTCTATAACTGCCTTGCCTCGTTTCTTGATCATTTTTTTCTCTAAAATAGCTATGGGCTCCCTTACCAACACTCTTTCTGCATCAAGTAGTGGAAGAGTGCACTGTGTCACTGTTTTGCCAATGTGTTTCTTCAGCTGTGAGACATGAAACACAGGATATATTTTTGCTTCATTTGGCAACTCCAGTCTGTAAGCCACTGCCCCTATCTTCTCCAGTATCTTATAGGGTCCAAAGTGGTTAGTAGCCAATTTTAAACAAGGTCTGTCACGAATTGATTGCCTGAAAAGTTGAAGTTTAACATAAACCAAATCATTAATCCGTAGCTGCCTGTCAGACATATGCTTGTCAGCTAGTTGCTTCATTCAGTTCCTTGCCCTGTTTAAATGAAACTTGAGAAGTTTAATTGTAGCCTCCCTTGCTTGAAGACTCCTATCCATTGTTTCCACCTCAAATCTCCAGGTAAATATGGCTTGTGAGTTGGAGCAGGCCGACCATAAACTATTTCATAAGGTGTTGTCTCGATGGAAGTGTGGTGACTAGTATTATACCACCACTTGGCCAATGGAACCCACTTCGACCAAAGTTTAGGTTTTCACCTGTCATACATTGTAAATAGGTTTCTAAACACCTATTAACCACCTCAGATTGACCATCTGTTTGTGGATGGTAAGCAGTTGATAACATCAAATCAGTCCCCACCGACTCAAATAGCTCTTTCCAAAACAAGCTAGTGAATATTTTATCTCGATCTGAAACAATAGTTTCAGGTACTCCATGCAACTTATACACATTGTCTAGACAGAGTTGAGCAACTGTAACAGCAGAGAATGGATGAGATAATGTGATGAAATGATCATATTTACTCAATCTATCCACAACAACGATAATCATATCTTTGCCAAACAATCTGGAAAGGCCTTCTATAAAATCCATGGAAACAACAGTCCATATCTTGTTTGGAATGGGTAGTGGCTGTAGTAACCTTAGATATGTAGCAGTATCATATTTACACTGTTAATAGGTTGGACATTCCCTGACAAACTGCCTCACTGCTTTCTTCATTCCTTTTCAGTATACCACACTAGCTATTCTCCTCATGGTTGCTTCAACTTCTGAATGACTTCCATCAACAAAGTTGTGGAAATATTTCAACAATTCTTGTCTTAGACTACTGTCAGATCCTACCATAAGCTTCCTCTTTCGCCTTAGCTGACCTGTAACCCAAGTCTATTTAGTAAACTGATTGGGCTTATTTTTTATATTATAAAGCAAGTGTACCAAAACAGAATCATGCAACAAGAACTGTTTAATTTTGTCCATAAGATCACTGGTGATAAATGAAATGGCATATAACAGGACTGAAGACACTCTAGAAAGAGCATCAGCTGCCACATTTATAGACCCTTTTCTATAAACCAACTCGTAATCAAAGCCCATCATTTTTACCACCCAAAGTTGATGGGCAGGCATATTTGTTTCTTGATCCAACAAAAATTTGAGGCTTTGATGGTCAGTTTTTATCTGAAAATGCCTTCTAATTAAGTATGCACTCCATTTCTTCACTGCAGCAAGTATGGCCATCATCTCTTTTTCATAAATTGAGAGTGCTTGATGTTTAGAGGATAAAGCCTTACTGAAGTAAGCAATAGGTCTCCCCTTGTGACTTAAGATCACACCAATTCCACAGTGTGATGCATCAGACTCCACTACAAAAATGAAGTTAAAATCTGGAAGAGCTAAAACAAGGGCTGTTATCATTGCTTGTTTAAACTTCTCAAAAGTTGTAGTAGCAGTCTCTTGCCATTGGAAAACATTTTTCTTCAATAATTCTATAAGTGGTGGCTATAGTACAGCACCCCCTTATGAATCTCCTGTAGTACCCCGTTAATCCCAAAATCCCTCTCAGCTCCTTAATGGTTTTGGGAATGGGCCACTCTTTGATACATTCAATTTTATTACTATCCATAGCAACTTCTCCCCTACTGATAATATGTCCTAGATATTCGATGGTTGTATCACGAAAGTCACATTTTGACAATTTGACATATGGCTGATTCTGGACCAGAACTTCAAATACCTGCTGCAAATGTAGTAGATGATCATTCTAGTTAGAGGAGTAAACCATGATATCATTGAAAAACAACAAAACAAACCTTCTAAGGAAAGGTTGGAAAATGTTATTCATCAAACTCTGGAAGGTGGATGCTGCATTGGTTAATCCAATGGGCATCACCAAGAACTTGTAGTGTCCTTGATGAGTCCTAAATGCAATCTTATGTATGTCTGCAGGATTCATTCTAATCTGGTGATATCCAAATTGCAAGTCCAATTTAGAAA